CTTTAAATTTTTACTATGAAAAAAGCAAAATTGAAACAGAAGTGGACGTAGAAATAAACAAATTTACTTTACATGAAATTTGTCTTCACACGTTCAGAAAACAATTTTCCGATGTGAGAAATTTTTGGTACAAGAAAATATGTAATTACGATGCGTACAAGTAGTATTATCGAATTGATCGAAAATGCTAATGATCCCTGAACAAAATTGTGATAACGGACATAGCTACGTTTCAAATTTTTTCCTTACAGACCATTGTCATAAGAATTTCCTTACAGGACTATTTTCATTAAAATTTCTTTACAGACCATTTTCATGAAAATTGTTATTTGCAATTTTAACTGCAAATACTTGCGTGTAGGAGTTCTCGAGCATGACTCTGATTGGCATGGCTCGTATAATGGCCGACGAAATAATGAATGTCAGCAAAGAGCCTGACAGGGGTAGCATATTTTTTTTCATTTATAGCGTGCGTAGTCACGCATTGGAATATCAGCGCGGAAGTTAAGGGAACTCACCAGGAGAATTTCACCGAGCGGTATTTCTTCGTCTGGTTGAATCGCTGAAGGCATAATATACATTTCTCTTGGAGAGCGGAGAACGAAAAGCATGAAAAGAAACGGCGTGTATTGTGGAGCGCCAAACGGGCTCTCGTAAAATGGAAAATAGAAACTCATGATTGGCATTTGAACGATGTTCGGTACAATGGTTGAACCTCGAGGAGAATCGTTCTAATGCGATTACAGGGGAGAATGAACGCCGATAGATGCATCTGTATACATACATGTATACATATATACAATATAAGATGTACATACGCATTTATATAGAAACAACGTAGGTTATTTATACACGTATATGGATAAACGCGTGCACATTGTTCCGAGATGCACACGAATGCAGATGCTCGAGCTATGACCAATTTTCAATTCTATTTTCAAAACAAACAGAGAAGCGACATTTTTATACGAGACCACCGGGTAAATAGCAGTTTTTCAGCGTCACGTATTTTCACTGTCTGCCGTTTATTTTAATATTGTTGCACGATTTGAAATTTCAACGACACGCAATCCTTTCGTCGTTTACCTTTTGCGGGTGCATCTCGATCGCCCATAAAATAACGAAAGTCACCGAACTTCGAAAACAATTTCGATTGATAGACCGTTTTTCGCGAACGGAAGTGACGTGCAAAACAGTTCCGAAATATCGATCGTTTCCTTCTTTTTTTTTGTATGGAAATGCCAAATTTAAATTTCGCTGGAAATCTCGTTTAAAAAAAATACTCAGAGCTCGATTCGAAGGCTTGGTCGCTACTTAACTCGAAGCCTAGATTATACCTTAATTTGAAGTCTCAACGCAAAGCTTAGTATAAAGCTTGATCTAAACTCTGACTTAGAAGCTGACTCATGGCTTAGCTTAAAGCCTAACTCAATGCCTAATTTGAAGTCTTACTGAAAGGCACAAGCTTTACCGAAGAAACTTCTGTCCGCTATCAAAATCTACCATCAAATTCAGCTTCAAATAAGACTCGAAATCGTACGCATAGTTTTGTAACTTTAGTTTTGTCATAATTCTGTTTTTTGCCTATTCGTGACCTAATTACTGGTGCGTTCCAATTTAACGTTTTGGCTGCCACGCCGATAGCAACAAAAACGTCACAAAAACAAAGTATTTTGTTTAATCAAATTAGGATCGAAAAGCTAAGTCGTGTTTACAATTAGTTTCTCGGCATTCTCAAGTTTTACGGATTCTAGTAAAATTAGGAAGATGTAATAGATTAGTGTGAACATTAAATTTGATATCTGAGCAACACACACGAGCAATTCTGTCACCCACATACATATGTGTGATGTGCAGTCGAAATATCATGTAATAAGTCGGTAATGTAATAAATAACGTAACAAGTAATGTAACAAGTAATGTAATAAATAATGTAATGAGTAATGTAATGAGTAATATAATAAGTAATGTAATAGGTAATGTAATAAGTAATGTAATAGGTAATATAATAAGTAATGTAATGGGTAATGTAATAAGTAATATAATAAATAATATAATGAGTAATGTAATAAGTAATGTAATGAATAATATAATGATTAATGTAATGAATAATATAATGATTAATGTAATAAGTAATGCAATGAATAATGTAATAAGCAATGAAATGAATAATATAATAAGTAGTGTAATAGGTAATGTAGTAAATATTGAAATAAATAATGTAATAAGTGATCTAACAAGTTCGTGCGGTTTTAATTTCGATTTACAATAAGAGGAGATACGATTACACGAGCCTTGCGCCTCGTTTTTTATGGTTGTTGACAATCGGCAACTATAGAAACGAGCCGCGCGGCTCGAATAATCGCATCTTCTCTTCCAAAACAGCCTACTTTTCATCACAAGCTGAAGCACAATATGGGAGAATTTACTATAATCATCCCGGATAATAGTTGCTCAACGATTACGTCACATCTATCGTTCGATAGCTTTAATTTTCTCCTGTTGTGCGATCGTTTATTTATAATTTTGTTCCGTGTGAATAATACAATATTAATTTTTTTAAAACCATAGAGTGTCGAGTTAACAAGAATCACAATTATTACGCGGGGAAATTTAAATCGAAATTAAAACCGCACGAACTTTACGGACCAACCCAATAGATCCAAAAGATAATAGAAGCTGAATACGCGTATGGGGTTTTAAATAAATGAAGAATATGATCAACCAGTCGGATACCATTTTTCTCTATCGATTAGAATCGCATGTTTGCAAGCTTGCAAATATTTAGGAGACTGTTCTCACATAAGGTGACCCAGTGAATTCATGCGAACTTCGACCATGCTGTCCGATGCAGGGAACTCTCAGAAATAGGGGTTTCCAGCGAAATCAATAATTTCCTGGCAAGGCATTCATCAAATCGCGAGTAACAGTGTGAAGCCGAGTCGAACGTGACACCGAGGGTACGAAAATGTCTCGGAAAGGAGAACTACCGTCCACAGGAAATGTAGTTGAGCCACGTGGCGAATCCTGAATAGAAGAAGACGAAGACGAAGAATCTGGCGTGCGGAAGAAAGAGAGAGAGAGAGAGAGAGAGAGAGAGAGAAAGAGAGGCGAAAGGAGGATTTGTAGATCCGTCTTCGGAGAAAATACAAGTCCATCCTCCTGACTGGCCAACAAGTCTGGCCAAGGCTACCAGAAGCAACCATTGCTGCCTCTATTGATTCCGTCTTATTCCATTTCTCGTTCCTGATAAGAATTGAATGTTCGCCTCTCACCATTCCGATTCTCTCTCTCTCTCTTTCTCTCTCTCTTATTCCCCTTCTTTCCTCCCTTCACGTTTCGTCCCTTTGTCCTCCGGCCGTTCGTTTTCCTTCGCTTTTACTCATTGTTTTGACGAGTCGAACGAACGAAGCCTTGAACGACGCTGGTCAAAGCTGCCCTCGCAAACAAGACGGACGAGTTTGAACTGTATTCGTTGGCTTAGCATAATTTAGCATTTCGACTTCGTGATGTGTTTTGGTGTCATTTTGAACCACAGATAAGCGATGAGAACATAAATTATTTCAGTGCGAAATTTGGTTTCCCTTAGACATTGATTTCCGTGAATGAAAAATGAAGTAATCGTTGGACTGCGAATTTTATGCATTTATGACAGAAATGAGTTGATCAAACATAGAACATCGACACTATTGCAAAAATTTAATGACTCGATTATGTTATTTATAACCCGTTAAAATTATTCAAAACGTAACCGAATGTTTATGCAGTTCCTGTTTCCCGCAACGGATGTGCAAAATTTGTATTCTGCGTAAAGATCCGCAGTCTAGTAATTATATGTATATTATATATATATATTCGATGAAAATTTGTGTGAGATTCACGTCATAATTTGCGATTCATGTGAAAAATGTCTTTGTTCAGATCGTGATCAGAAATTCTACTTCGAAATAATTCTTCCACATCTTCATACTATTCATTTTTCGTCGATATGAGAGTTTAAGAATACGTATTAAGAATATAAATACATCTTTACGTGATGTTCTTTCAATTAAAATGCCTGCACGAATTGTGAAGTCCCTTGAGTTTAATGAATAATAATTGAATACATGACGATACATTGAATAATAATTGATAAAACTTCGAAACGAAATACGAAATATTTATGGAGATAAAACAAAAGGAATTAAAAGTCTGGATAGCGGACTGAGTTTTATGAAACACGTATAACAAACGTCACTCGTGCCACAATGATATCTAATAAGTAACAACATTCTAAAATGCAACAATTTGGTTCAATCAGGTTGCATTTAACAAAATTCGAGAACGAAATAATGTATTCCAATCCAGTTGCCTATAGAGGAACAAAGTTATCGGCACGAAAACGTAGTCCTCTTTAAAATCAATAAAAAGAGGTCTATAAAAAGAAGTAACCATAATACCCAAAAACGTTACTCAAGCTGTTATAATCTCTAGCAAAAACGGAAACAATATTCCAAAACGCAACAATTTGTTCCAACAGATTTGTCTCAAGAAGAACAAAGTTATCGGAACCAAGAAAAAAGGAAAGAACCGTAACATTCAAACACGTGATCCAGCTAAACTAATCTCTCTCAAAGTACAAAATGTTTGAAAAGGTACAATTTGTTCGAATCGACTGCACTTTCGAGGAAGGGCACGGAGTCGTCGCAGTTATCGGCAGAGGGGCGGAAAGAAGGAACCGTGATATTCGTAAACGTAGTTTCCGGTGCTCGCAACGGCGTCTGGGAGCGCAACGGCACCGGTTGTCCGAGGGTGAAACGGGACGGGGCCTGGCGATGGAAATCGTCGCGATAGTTGCTCTTCGCCGTTGAAAGCGGAAAAGAGCGAGCTAGGCGAGAGCAGGCTCGTCCCGTTTTCGCTAATTGCAGCCGAGGGCGGAAACACGACGGCACCGGTTCCGCTAATCGACGCGGAAAGAGAGGGGGGGGGAGAGGGGGCCTGAATCGCGTATCTATACTCACAAGTGGTCCTGCCGCTTGAACGCCTTGTGGCACATTGAGCACACGTATTTCCTCTCGTCGCTGTGCGTCAGCTTGTGCTTGGTGAGCGCCGATGCGTTGTTGAACACCTTCCCGCAGACCTGCGACAGAAACCGTGCACCGTGTCAGCGCGTCTTTAGCTAGGCGAACGCCGCCTCGTGACAGTTGGCTTATTTGCGTCGTCGTCGCCGAGGGGACACAAAAGGGACACGCTCCGAGCTTGCATCCAGTTTGTATTCAGTTAATTAACGCGGAGTTATTAAATGGCAGTCCTCGCGCTTCGCCGCGCCGCACTTCGGTTCCGAATCCCAAAACCGTGGTGAGAACCCGTACAAATGAATTTTCTCGAAGGTCCGTTTGTGACCTTCGTTTTTCAGGACACTTTATTCGATGCCCGAATGCCGAAGCGCGGAAGAAAATGGTCACATCTTTTTAACGCTAAAACCATCGAATGGTAATATCGATTGGTGTTATCGTCTGGTACGAGTAAGAAGATCGAATTAATTTTGGTTTTGCAAAGTCTTTAATCATGAAAGCTGCTGCGATAACGTAATTCATTCAAGTTAGAAGATCGCTTTGACCGTGGTAAGTTTAGTGTTAAAGAAGCGTGACTTATTCAGTGGGAAGCCTGTAACTTCGTTTTAGGGAATATTCGATTGAATTCTGTGTAATGGATGTCGTTTTTAGAAGCAAGTAGAATGTTAGCGTTGCAGAGATTGCTAACCATCGAACGTGCCAGTTAGTAACAAAATAAAATACAAAGTGCTACGTATAGTCTGTAAAGATACAGAGAAAGAGTCGCGTGTACCTCAGCATCCTGTTAATATCGATGCAGAAATCTTTATTTTGCTTTTATTTTGTCGAGTGTTACATTTCCCCCCATTTAAATAATTGTTTTACATTTTTCGATCATACACATCTTCGATGAAATCCGGATCGTATTATTGTGCCGACTATGTTTTGGGGATTTGAATCCGCTGTGCGTTGTGATATATTGTGGTAAAAGGATTTATTGACAGCCGATGGAATTGCGAATTTTGGATTCGTTGCAGCTGATATTTTTAAACTGTGTTCTATATAAAATTTTCTACCATGTTGCGAACCAGTTACTGGATGTTTTCAATCGATGATTTTATATGGACACGCGAAGTTGATATTCATCGACAAACTGCTATTCATCAATTCTTTAAAATGATTGAAAAACCGCACGCCGCAAGAATGATTAGTTATTTATGTTCAAGTTTGTACGACGAATTTTTATTTAGCTGATAAAATTTGGCAGGACATGCAATTAGACGATGTTGCATAACCTGTTCGATAATGAAAAAGATCTAAGTGGCAATTTCTTACCAATTGCATGTAATAATAATAAAAATAACAAAGGCAAATTCAAATTTGCATCTTTATTCGGACGAGTTGCGTAGATTTTATGGCACTTTTGGCAAATGTAATTTCAATTATTGTGATACGAAAGATACGGAAGCATTTTTATATCGACTGGCGTTGCCAATGACAAAGAATCGAGCATCTACGAACGGAAACGATTTTAACCGGTAATCTGATATGAGAACGTAGGGAGCCTGTTCGTCGAGCAAGTAACAAAATTACGGCTGGCAATCGCGGGCAAACTAAGTGTAACGGGGGCTCGAATCGAGTGGCACGATTTTAATACACGATAATCGGCGCGCGTTTCGCGCAAATGTTCGCAATTCTCTGCGGGCCGGCACACGTTCCGAACGGTTCATTGCAGACCCGCGAAACGGAACGCACTGGACACAGTTTTCAATTACCGCCCGCCAGCCATCGTAAACCCGGCCCGGACAAAGTTTTACGGCGATCATTAGAACGCCGATAAAGATACCATTGCCGCTTCCCGACGTTCGCGTTACCATCGATCACGACGCTTTGCTTTCGAGTCCCTTTCATTCCGATGTCCATGTTTTTTCCGGTTCAATTTTTACGAGGTTGACTTGTCCTCGCGAACGCTATTTCACGGTCCTCCAAAAAATTTATGTCCGAGCTCGTCTGATGTAAATCTTCTCCAGAGATATGCTGTTTTGAAAAAATTCTATTAAATCATTCCGCAACATAAATCTTCTTCCGAGAGAAAAGACGATTATTACATTAGACCAAAAAACTTAATTTCGAAAACAATGATCTAAACGATCCTTCGAAAATGCTCTTGTGAAAAATTTCTGTTAAACGCTCTGTAATATAAATCGTCTTTCATCAAGATAATTCTTGTGTCTGGATATAAAAACGCGGTATGTAAAACACTGATTCGGATGATCCTTTAAAGCTGCTTTTTTAAAGTAATTCTATTAAATACTGGATAATGTAAATCTTCTTCTGAAAAGACAATTCTCCCGTTTGAAAGTCAAAACGTGATTGTTTGAAGCAATTGAATCTAAATAATTCCACGAAAGATTACTTTGTTTAGTAACATATTTGAAAAAGTTCAACGAGATTTTTGCTTCGTTAATATCGACAAATTCAATTTTTCAAGCAATGTACTAAATGATTCTATGAAATGTTCTACAGACTTCCTAGAGCACTGTCGGCTTTCTGATTCAGTAAAGAAGTTGACGCTCTCCGTCAGTTTCTATAAAATAGTTTAATTGAATTTATTTTAATTTACTCATGTATACACCGCGAGTAAGAAACTCTTTGTTAGAAACATAGAAAAAAGCTTAACAATGGTTAATAATGATTGACGGATGAGCAATACATATATGTATAACGATGCAGAATGTACATTAACATATATTTACGTGTATACGATTAATTAAGAATGAAAATAAAACGAACGATAAAAAATGAAAAGAATCACGGAAAATCGAGAGAATCATTTACTTTGTAAATAAACAAAATATCAGCGACCGTGCGGCGTTTAACCCGAATAAAATAATCGCTAACCAACCGCATGAAAGTTCGTCTAACAATGACTGATCTGTAATTTAATTGTCTTGAGAACGGTGAAGGGAAAATGAAACGCGGAGAGAAGGTGAATCGTCTGCAACAAGCGTCTGATCCGAGCAACGTAGACGCGTTCGAAACCGAAGCCACTATTTAGTGCGGGAAAACGAGACAGTTTGTCGCCTGTGAAATTTCTAATTACGCGAGACGGCGGCACGGCATTTCGTATTAACAACAGCCGCGCCGAAGACGTGGTCGAGGGTGTTGGGGATGGTATGCCTGTTAAGTATGTGGAATTGGGTTTATTACTCGCCCAGGGCCGCGCACTATTTCAGGAACTATTTCAGGAAGCTAAAAGCTGAGGGACCAGCGCGCATGGACGTTGTTCCATTCGAAAGTCCGAGAACCATGCAAGAATAGTCCGAATTGGTGTCGAATTTGCCGTCGCCAAATATCGCGCGAAATTCCGTGGATCAAATTCGCAGGGTAACTACCAGGGCGTTTCTGATAAAATTAACCCTCGCCATTTCATTACTATGCCCTTTCCTTGTCACACCGTTTCTATAAGACTGCTCCCTCTCCCCCTCCCTCTCTCTCTCTCTCTCTCTTTTTCTCTCGGTTTCTCTCTTCTGCTCCCTCCTCGATCGTAAATTTTAGTACCAGCTCAAGACAGTTCCGAAAAGAATTGAATGCTCGCGAGAAATCCTCGTTTTACGAGGCGAACTAATTCTAAAATAAACTGTTTTGATAATTGAATTTTTTATATTCGAGATATTAACCTTTTACGGCCTTATTTAGCTCCGATTCTCATAAGCGGGATTCATAATTCGATGATGAATTACGAGCAGAAGATAATTATTGAATTTTGTACAATGTTCTTCCTCGTATCGGAGATTTCTTTTTATTGTAATTAGTTTAGTGCGGATTTTATGCAATTATGATACAAATGATTAGAAAGAATGAGTAAAATTAACAAGATAAAATTATGAAAACAAGAGATACGGTTTCATTTCGTATCTGTTTCTTATAGTTACGTTGCCATTTTCCCTTGAAATGATTAAAATTATTAAAAGAAGAGGTACGGTTTCAGTTAATTTCTTCTTTCTTTTAGAATTAAGTTAGATAATTTTTATCTTCCATAAAGATCCGCAGTCTAGTAAAGCAAGATCATCGAACAGAAATTAAGCTCATTGCGATATTTAGAAACGATGTTTAGAAAATACGAATTTTTGTATCGAATTTTATAATATTGAAATGATACTCTCCATCGATGTTCAAGAATGGCGATTTTAACTAGCTCAAAACATTTCATAGGACACCATAAAACCACAAGCAAACTGTAAATAGAATAAGGCGGTCTATGGTCGGAAAATTGATTTAGGACAAGCTATAGTCGGACAAGTACAGTAAGACAGTGAAACAAATACAGTAATGTCTCTCTAATTGACGCTCAGATTGTCCACAAAAACGGACAATTTTGGAAAAGAAGATACGATTGTTCGAGCCTTGTTGCTCATTTTTTATGGTTATCGATTGTCAACAACTATAAAAACGAGTTGCAAGATTCGAATAATCGTGTCTCCTCTTCCTAAATTGTCCATATCTGTACACAACCTGAGCGTCAGTAAGGGAGACATACTGTAATATGGAATTGTATATGGTCGCAGAAGTAGAATAGGATACTCTGTTATCAGTCAAGTAGAATGGATGATCTTATTAGGAAATAGATAGAATAGAATAGTCTGCTCTGAAGCAAGGAGCACATGATAAGATGACGACTATCAAGATAGCCTGGATAGTGGAATAGGAGAGCATATAGCTAGACAAGTACACCTAGGCTGTGTAAATTAACTAAGGAGAATGAGAAAGTAGAATAAAACTGACAGTACTCGGATAAGTGAAATAGGACCGTTTATGATCAGACGAATAATTTAGATTGACGTGTGGACAGACACAAGTAGTACATTACAGTACATAGTCAGGCGAGTGGAAAAGACCAAGCGAATATTAGCTTTCTTCGTAATTAATTAATTTCTAATTGCAGTCATGATAAACTTTTAAATACAAAAACACAGAAATATTAGGTGAAACTATATTTCGCACAAAATTTCTAAATTTTTGTAATATCGACCTGATAACCATATCAAAAAGAATAATATTATTTAAATAATTATGTATTTAACTA